TGAACACTGCACGAACTTAGTGTTGTGTGAATGAGCGGTAATTTAAACACTGCGGTGGGTGAGGACCAAATTCAGAAATTTAGTTCCAGAGGTAATTTAGTTCCAGAGATTACTCCGTGGTACTTAAGTAAGTACTTACCTTTATTACCTTTTATAGCTAGCTACTGAGTCTCTCCTATACTGATGGGAATATGAATTGATCATGTGGAACTAAATTTAGTGTGTGCACCTGTGTCACTACCGGGCATGCTTCTTTCTCTTCCCCTTATTAAGTGGACTGCTGTCTCCTTTGGGGCATGGCACACTCCATCCAGCAGCTGCTAGTATTTTGAAAAGATCAACCTTGGTTAAGATCAGTCAGTTACTAGGTTGGTGGTCAGCAGTTGTGCTAGTTACTTGTGGCCAAACCAGATGGGAGGCGGTCTTGAGCTTTGTGTGTATTGATGCTCATCCCAGCAATTTATATATATAGTGGAAAAACTCCTTCAGATAGTAAGATGTGGAGGTGTTCTAGCAAACAATTTGAATTTTTGTTTCATTTTACTTTAACATGAATATAACTTAATATTCTATCAGAAAGTTATTTTTCCTTAATAAAAGATTACCACAGATTTTTTTTTTACTTGTAGGACTATTTCAACATTTTCTCCCAATGGAACAGATTTGATTTAATAATGAAAATTGAGAAAAATGTTTATGGCAATGCAGGCAAAAATTCTATTTTTAAAAGGGTGACTGAAAGTTTTAATGGAAGGTGATTACATAGGTTTCTTGTGTATGAAAAATGACAGTGTGGCCTCCAGTATACGATACTGAAATACTTTTTTTTTTTTTTTTGTGGGACCCTCACCAGTGGCTGGGGAACGAACCAGCGCTGCAGAGGCTCCAGGCAGCCTCGCAGCCCAGCGCTCAACCGCTGCGCCACCAGGGGAGGCCCAACACTGAAATTTCTGAAGCTAAAAATACTTGTTGGCTCATTTTACGGTCATCTCTGACATGAGAAAAAGCAGATAGAATTTCAGATCTTTAAGTGCTGTTTCTAGTGGTTGTCATGATTTAAAAAAAAAAAAGGCAGCCTCTGTGGCACTGGGATGGATGCTCCTTATTGACTGATTCCACGTCACAGCCGGTTCAGAGGTCCAGTTCTGGGCCTGCTTTGAGTCTGAAGCTGTCCAGGGCAGGCAGTAGTCAGTTGTTAATAACATGCTTTATTGAGATTACAGGCTTCCTGGGCAGACACTAATTCTGCATTTTGTTTAGCACTTTGTGCTTATTCAGAGATTAACATTCATCTGACAAAATGTTTTATAATTTGTTTTAAAAAAACACAACTCTTTCCCCCTCCCACCCCCAAACACACACGCGCGCGCGCTCTCTCCTTCCCGCCCCCCCCCCCCCCCCACTTGGTTTTTGCACAGCTCTTCCTTTTTGCCTTCACCTGGCAACATTCCTGCCAGGAAGTAAATACAGCTGCTAGCCTGGCTTGTGAGGGTGGAGTTGAACACCATGGACAGCGACATGGGCGGTCCCTTCCCCAGAGCTCCCTCCAGCATCCTCATCCCACACCAGTGTGCACATCTAGTGAGACTGCACCTTACCCTCGTTCATCCACTCCCTAAGCGAGTTCCTTTCTGTCTCCCAGTACACAGCTACTAAATCTAGATTCATCTTTATGATCAGAATCTGTTCATTTTTGAACTGGACTTCAAATTGGGCTTCTTGTTGGGACTTCTTCTTTCAGAGTTCTCCCTGCTGTGGGGGGGCTTTCTGCATCCTGAGTGTAGGAGCCTGTGGCAATATTTTCCTGTTCTGGACAACAGGAGAAACTAGAGCAGCTCAGCCCAACTGGGCTTATTCAGTCTTTGCTTCTGTAAGTAGCATTTAAACAAATTCTTAGAGCCAGGACTCCTTACATGCATCAAAGGTGCTGGCTGCGGGTGGTGCAGTGCTTGTAAGGCAGGTCATGAGACCATGGCCACTCCCCAGTCACACAGAAGCAGTGTGTGGGCTCAAGCTAGGCACCTGGACACTTGGATCTTTTCCTCGTTTTGTTCCTGTCCGCTCCACGTTGAAATCATCTCATCCTTTCTGAACCTTGTATTTTCTGATCTGTGATAGGGGTCAGGACTGCTTGTCAGAGGACCATCCATACCGTGCCCTGATTGCTCCTGGCAGAATTTGTTTTTCTAAACCCTGGACCTGGCTTTGGCATTTTAAGCCAGATTTGTTGGCACCAGGCTGACAAGAGCAGGAGGGAGAGAGCATGATGTCTCTCTCACTTGGATTCTGCCTTGAGGACTCTCAGTCTGTTTTCTCTCTGCTCAACAAGTAAGAGTTAACAAAATAAGTGGGGCTTGGAGGGCCCATTACTTACCCTTAGCCCTTGATGAAGATGTGTTTGCTGAAAATGCAAGTGAGCCTGGCCATTCTCGTCTGAGGGTGGGTAGCTTCCCAAGCAGAATGATTGATTGGGAGGCCCGCAGGTCAAGATTCTCTTAATTAGATGGTAACTAGATAACCTGGTTGGAAATTTGATTAGCATCTTTCAGATTTTCCACATTGAAGAGGGAGTTATCAGCATTTTGAAAGCTAATTTTGTATTTATTACCACTGTGACTTTGCTTTTTACACCATTAGGATTCTGCCAGGAAAAGACTTGGAAGTGGCACGAGACTGCTTTGCTGTAGGACGGAATGTTCTCACACGAAAGTTCTGCCCATTTCCATTTATATCTAAAACACATATTCCTATTTCCTTGTTCTTCCTCCTGATGTGATTTCACCTATATCTGTGTCCCCCTCTCGCATTGACCACTCATCAGCCCTGGGTCTTCAAAGAGCAGTGTATCCCCGGGTGAGGACTTGGCTCCCCAAAGACAAGGGCAGTTTCTGGGAAGGGGCTTGTGATTTGTCAGCACCAATCACTCTTGTGTGCCCCACTCTTGAAGGCAGAGATCTGGGTATCTCACACTCCAGCATCCATATTTTTGGTGGTTCTTGAGCCCCACCTCAGAACTACTGAATCAAAAACTCTGCGGTGGGGCCCGCGGACGACCCGCCGGGGGGGCTCGGCGCCGGGGCCGCCCGGGTCGTTCATCCGTGCGCGCCGGGCTTTAGCGCGTTCTGCGAGCGTTCACCGCCGGCGTCGAGGGAACCGCGTTCTCGCGGGGAGGAAAGCTACAAGCCCGTCCCTCGCGCGGTTCTCCAGGCTCCCCTAGAGATGTCCTGGTCACCAAATCTGCCTCTGAACTGACCCTGCAGTGGACAAAGGGCAACGCCGGCCGGGCACCTACCACGGGCTACGTCATAGAGGCCAGGCCCTCAGATGAAAAATGGGATGCCTGACTGCACTGGGGAAGACATGGCACAAGCTGACTTCACATACAGAAAGTACCTTTATTGGCAAGGTCTTACATTAGGATTAAGAACAGACGTGGTGGAGCTGGTGCTGGGGTAATAAGAATGCAGTAGAGACCACAGTGGAGGAGGAGCATCTCATCAGACATTCTTTATCTTCTAAATCCCTTCCAGTTCCTTTGTTACCCTCACCAACCCCGTGCCGTACATTTATCATGTGAACAGTACTTCTCGAAATAAAAATCCCATGAACCAAAAAAAAAAAAAAAAAAAAAAAAACTCTGCGGTGGGACTCAGCCATCTGCGTTTTAACAAGTCCTCCAGCTTACTCTGCACACTCAAGTTTGAGACCCATTGAATTGCAAAGCTATCAATATTTTCAAAGGTTAAATATGCACGTGTCATACATATGACCCAGCCCTTCCACGCCTAGGTATTTCACTAAGAGACAGGCAGGCACATGTCTACATAAAGACCTATACATGGGGGGTAAGGGCTCCCTGGAGGCCTGGGGGTTAAGTCTCAGCACTACCACCTTGACGGCCCGAGTTTGATCCCCGGCCAGGGAGCTGACCCACATGGCGCAGCAGCCCTCTCCTGTCTGGCCCGCTGCTCCCCTCAGCAGTGTATTTCCGTCAGACTGCCTGTTCTGTTCCCCACTCTGTCTCTGGTGAATCTTCTCACCCCCTGCACCTCTGGCCTATACCCCAGTTCTTCTATGCAAAAACAAGTATTTTTTTTTTAAAGACCTATACATTGATGTTTACTGCGCCTCCACTTGTGATAGCCTAAGGCTAGAAACAGCGGCGCACCAGGGAGCATAGAGAAAGGAACATGAGAACAGTGTGCTGAGCAGAAGCCAGCCTTGACCGACTCCCCACCCCGAGCCTGTCCCTCCTGTAAGAGGCCATACATGTAAGCCGCAGCCTCACAGCTCAGTGCTTGCTGGGAATGGGGCTAGCAAAGGAGGAATGGATTATAAAAATGAAAAAAATTTTGGGGGTGATGTTATTTTGAGGTCATGGTGTTGTGTCAAGTACACACAGTCAAATCTCATCGAGTTATATCTGAACAGAACTAAACATTTTTTAAATTTAAACGTGATGGTTACCTGGGAAAGACAAAGGGACAGGGAGGGAGGAACACTTGTGGGTGCTCATCAGTGTTGTATAAATGAATAAAGACCAACCTGGGCTAGGGTGCTGTCAGCCAGCACCTCCTGTGTCGGTGCTTATGGCCGCGGCTACGCCTGCAGCGCCGTCTCCACGCGTCTCACGGAGCTGCTGTGTGCACTGTGGTGTCCAGCTCGGTCTCCCGCGCGCTGGCCGGGGCGGGGGTGCTGAAGGCACAGGAAGACTCTAGCTTGATTTGCAGCTCTTGCAGGCCTTACAGTTTCATCAGTGTGTTCTAAGCTGAATCTTTAAAATTTTCTTGTTATCAAAACCTATTTGTCTCACTGTAGGTTATGTGTCACTAATGAAAAGCTGAGACTTGGGTTATTTCTCACTGGCACAGTCTCTAGAAGCATTTAGTATGGCTTCTACTTCTAAATTTATTCCGGTCAAACCCAATTTAATAGTAAAAACCCAGAAGGAGTTTTTTTGGACTTCTTGGTTACAATCTTGCCCCCTTGTTTTCCTGCAGATCTGATTCGAACCCACTGAGATCAGCACTCCCTCCCACTCAGGACTTTCTACACCTAGACCAGGACTCCAGAGAACACCAGACTTCTCAAAGTGAGTAGCCCCTGCACTGCCTCTCTATGTGGAGATGGTCTCATCTGATTAAAAATCACGTTGGCCATCCGCTTGGTACCCGGGGTGTAGACAAGCTCAGGCCCCAGCAAGCAGACCACAAAAGCAGTGCGATTTTTGTGGTGTGAGGACTAGTGTAGACATACACCATTGAATGTCTTTGACAATACACACCGCCCCCAGAGAGTACAGATCTTCAAATATTAAACTCATTAGTTGTAATTCTAGTACCCATCTGAAGCGAGTGGGATTCGTCTTGGAAGTAGAATTGACTGTGGACTTCAAATTGCCTGGGGTTATTTCCAAGGAAATGCCACGTACAAGATAACCCAGAGCATTCAGATGTCATGAATATAATAAAAGTAGGTAGTTTTATTTTTTTGAATAGAATTGAGGACCACCTATCCTACTTTTCTTTAACTGGTCCAATTCAGTACCTTTTTAGTCCATAAAGACAGTTTTACCTAAGGTGATATCATCTAACATTTCTACATCTAGAATTGGGTTTAGGAAAACTTAGTGATGTGGAGGGAGGCAAGAACTATAAGGCGGCGGCGGCTACAGGGGGAGCCCTTCGGTAAAAGCCAGGGACCCCACCATGGCTGGGCATGTTTCCAGCTTTACACTTCCCCTAAAAGAGGATGCCTACTTCATTTAGTGCTTTTTTCTTTTTAATAATCACCAGGGAGCTGAGCTTTACATTATTTTCCGTATCTTAGACTACTTTTCCTGTTAACCAGTAGAAAATAATTTGTCTGCGTCCTTGAACAAATCCACTCTATTACAGAAAACAGCTGTTCCCAATCCTTTCACTTCCCTCTCCCACAAACAGGAGGCTGTGCCGAATCAATAGCATTTAAAGTTCTGACCTATACCTGTATTTTGCAGGAAGGCGATTGTGATTTTGAATTCCTTGGTAGAGGAAAACAGAACGCTGTGGTCTTGCTGCCGAGGATGCAAGTGTGACTGCCGGCGTCTTCATGAGCTCCAGAGGTCACAGCACGCTGCCGCGGACTCTCATGGCCCCTCGGATGATTTCCGAGGGAGACATAGGAGGCATTGCTCAAATCACCTCCTCTCTCTTCTTGGGCAGAGGCAGTGTGGCCTCCAACCGGCACCTCCTCCAGGCGCGTGGGATCACCTGCATCGTTAATGCTACCATTGAGATCCCCAATTTCAACTGGCCCCAATTTGAATATGTTAAAGTGCCTCTGGCCGACATGCCTCATGCCCCCATTGGACTGTACTTTGACACCGTGGCTGACAAGATCCATAGTGTGAGCAGGAAGCATGGGGCCACCCTGGTGCACTGTGCTGCAGGGGTGAGCCGCTCGGCTACTCTCTGCATCGCTTACCTGATGAAGTTCCATAATGTGTGCCTGCTGGAGGCATACAACTGGGTGAAAGCCCGGAGGCCTGTCATCAGGCCCAACGTAGGCTTCTGGAGGCAGCTGATAGACTATGAGCGCCAGCTTTTTGGGAAGTCGACAGTTAAGATGGTACAGACACCTTATGGCATAGTTCCAGACGTTTATGAGAAAGAGTCCCGACACCTGATGCCTTACTGGGGGATTTAATGCCACCACAGCCTGCATCAGCAGCCCCTTGAGCAGTACCAGCATCTGCTACACACCTTTCTTTTCAAATAGTTGACTTTTGGTTCTTCCTGAAGTGTTTTTTACACTGGGTGTTCAAGTTTATTTTAAGAGGGGAGGAACATAAGGGGAAAGCATACATTGCTAGTAACATTTTTAAAACTAACGTTTTGGAATAGCATTTATGAAACTCTTTAACTGGCTTTTAATCATTTTTAACACTTTGAACAGTTTAATAAACTGTTTGGTTCTGCTCCATTCTGAAACCCATGCCTTTTGGCTTCATGGCAGGGGCAAGAGGAGCTCAGTGCAAAAATCACTTTGGGCCCTGTCAACCCTTTAGAGACCAGCTTTGTCCAGGGCTGCCCACCAAGCAATGGCTTAGGGAAGGACACCAGCTCCAGTCTCTATTGGATTCGCCCTACTCTTTTCCTTTTCTTCTATTATTTAGTGACACTGTAAGTTAAAAAAAAAATTATTTAGCTGTTGAGTAATTATAATGAAATCTGCAAAAACCCTCTTGGGATCATTGTGCCCCAGGATTCCTATATTAGCATTATTTTTAATAAATAGATATCTGCTTAACATACTAGAACTTTTACTAGTAAGAATTTAAGGGTGTGTGTGTGTGTGTGTACTGACAGAAGATGCCCTCCAATAATTGTGTTAAAATATGGCTCCTGTGACAGCTGTGAACACTACCAAAAATAGACATCCCAGCTGAATCGTGTTAACATCTCACCCGCTTGCAGATAGGCAGATATTAATGTCACAATGCTGGACCAGTGGAAAACAGCATAGAGTATACATTCTGATGAAATGTGCTGTGTTTTTACCTGTCTCTTGGTAAGTGGAATGCACCAAAGCAAGTTCTCCAGCAAAGAAATTGGTTTTTACAAAAGGTGTGCCTTTGGTTGACTATTCACACACACACAAAATGCCCTAACCAAACCTCAGTACAATAGATAAGCAATAACAATGGCCGCCTCTGTTGAAACATGGAAACGTCACCCCCATTCATGGCTCCTAATACAGCTGACAACACAACTCACCTGGGACTTACAAGTTTAATTAGCTCTTTTCTGACTCCACTCTGCTGGGAAACCAGGGCGAGTTACCAGGCTGCTGCTTTCTTTTAGGGGAGCCACCATCACCATACTGCGTCACTTCGTCTGTCTGGGTAGGTTGTAGCTTGCTTATCCGTGCAAGAATTTTCTAGATTTTTTGAGTCTATTTTGTCAAGAGGCCATAAATATGCTGCCAGTGGCTGCCTGTTTATATAAACCATATCTTCAGATACGGACTGAGGCAGTACTTTCCACTTAAATTCTACCTTGTCTTTTTCTCTAACATTCACCTGCTTTTAGGATTGTGCACCACTGTCTAGACAGGGAAATGAGAATCAGAAGAACCCATAAATACTACATTAGCGCGTGATCAAAAATAACAGAACAAAAGCACAACCCAAGGAGACTCAGTGTCTTTAGCATGAAGGTAAACTAACTGGTTGTCTCTGGATAAGAAAGAAACATCATGCTACTATAGTTAGAACACACGTGATGACAAGTTCTGGCTAATTAAGGAAAATTGCCTGTAAAAATCCTGGCAGACATCACTACTGGGATGTAAATAAGAGCATACCTAACACTTGGGAAGCCTGGACTTGACCTTTTACTAATTTAAATGTCAAGAGAATTTACTAGCTGGTCACAAAGGAAGGTGTGTGACCTTGGTGTGTGTGGGGGATTTTTGTAGTGACCCCCAAGCACTAGAAATATTTATCATTAAGGCCATATAGTTTTGTCAAAGCTTAAGGACACCTTAGTCATTAAAAGAAAGAAAAGGCATCTTGAAACAAACAAGTAAAATATATATGCACACACCAAATACTCATAATTCAAAGCCTATCTGGAGTGCTAACTAGTTATAGGAAAAAAAAAAAAAACAACGGGTAACATACCTTGTACCTTTCCTACCTCAAGCATGTCCAGACAAAAATTATACAGTAAGCCACAACAATTTTAAAGGTAAAATAGAATACCGAAAAAGAAAAGTGCTTATTAATTGCCACTCAAGCAGTGGGGGTGAAGCTGCCTGCACAATACACAGTATGGAAATCAGTAACCTTGGTTACTGTTTCCAAGGACACTGGGCTCTTGACTATCAAGAGCTGAGGTGAAGCTGAATGCAATGTTGAGTCATTTTAATAAACCTGCATTAAAGAAGAAATCAATGCAATGGTATTCCACACTCTCCAAGTCCTTACTGGTGACATCTAATAAAACACTTACCCCGTTTAACAGATACTAAAAAGTAGTGAATACTTTTCATAGCAAAGGCTTTTTGTTGGTTGCTGTATTTTCCTCTTAAGCCTTCCAAGGAGTGACTAAATCTATCTTGCTCGGTAAAGTCAGCAGTAATTATGCCAGAATTTTATCTGAGGTATTCTGGAATATACCTAGGAAAGGAAATCAATCGAGTTAGCAGGTGAGCATACTTTTTAAAATGCCACGTTGAAACCCAAGGCGCTGCTCAGGCTGAAGTGGCACACAGGCTTCGGGAAGAGCCTGCTGGAGACTGGCCTGGCTCCCTTGTGTGGATTGTTACTAACTCCCCACTAGCACTGTGGAGGGCAGAGGCTCTGAAGGTAACATTTCGGAGACAGCTGTCCCAGTCACTAGTAGCTGGAGGTGGTGTTTGGAGCTAATAAAATCATTTACCTCATCAACAATGCTCTGCATTCTGATGCACACAAGGTATAGCAGAAGTCTCATCAATAGCTGTGTAATGAAAATGTTCTACACCTTTCTTGAAGATGGAGGTAAAAGGTGTAAGATGTAACAAAATAAAATTCTCTCAAGTTTTATCCTGAGAAGGGAAAATAAGTTATGTAAATAAGCAATTCTATAACCCAAACCAACTTTTCCATTAAGTACTAAGTCTAGGTCAGAGGACGTTAAGTCATATAAAGTGAAACATACAAGATTCAAATCTCTTCCTAAAGTACAGTTATAACTTGGAGAAATAACATAGTCCTTAACCACTTCTTTTTCCCTTTCTGATTTTAAGCAGTTAAAGTGGCAAAGAAAATTCCCTACACCAGAGCACAGGCTGTCTTCTAAAAGAGCTGTTTTTGAACATATTTCTTCCTTTGCTTTTAAGTCATGTCTCTCTGCTCTGTGTATCTTACTATTTTCCTCACTAGGCCAGAAACAACTCTTGCTAATCCTGAACTAATTTTCAGATCTCTCATACATACACGGCAAGTCAGGCAGTACTGGCCCCTAAGCAGTTTGATTTGGAAATCTGGAGAAGGTATCACAGAGAGATTTCATTCACCTGCCTTTCCAAATCTTGTCTGAAAAAATTACTGTGTTCATATTCTTGTGAGAAGCCAAACAAGGTTTTCAGTGATGTCTCAGAGGAAGGATTTTCATCCTGGTATACAAGATTTGGGCCTCTGGCAAAGAGGACATTTTCCTCCACTGCAAAAAGTCCGGGCACCTTTTGACAAAAAAAATCTTGAATGTTGGCAGTTTTAGAAATGAACAAAAGGAGTAGAGAACTGGTTCAGGTTTGGCAGAAAAGTTGACAAACCTGCCCTCACTTACCTGCCATTGTCCAATGGAGATGACGAGAATTTTTTCTATAAAAAGACCATCAGTTAAATCACAATTTCCCCTTTTTATTCATTCCAGCTCTCAGTCTAAATGTGGATAAATGCATTCTACTTTACAGGACAATAAGGTTCTAGATATAAGTAAACACTGGCTTGAAACATTGTCGATTCCAGTCCTACAACAATTTATTTTCACCAAATGTCAATTCTTCACAGTTTTAATACTGCAGCAGCAAATATTCCTTAAAGTATGGTCCATATATTAAAACATCTTACGAGAACGAGAGATAAGTTAGCAAACGTCTGGCGCCACAGCTCAGGGAGGGCGATTTTACCTCAGCCCCAAGTGCCAGCAGTGGGAGCCAGGGGACGGAAGCCATCCGGAGGAATGACTAGGAACTTGCACAGCTTTGGTTCCCCAACCTCTTGGGGGAATTCTTTATATAGATTCATAAACGTTCTGTTCATTAGTTCCTCTCACCCCAGGGGGTGTGACAGAAAAAACCCCAACTCGGCTGGTCCACTTCATAGAGGAGCTTTTCAGAGCAAATCAGGCAGGATGAGGCCAGGTGGTTTTGGTTCAACACAGTTGATCCAGAAGTTGGCACAGCTGGCGTGGTACTGGTGTCCTCCATATGCCAGCTTGAAACTGTCTGTCTCTGAGTTGAATGCCTGCCGGAAATAAACAGACAAACAGGGCAAGTCTAGCTGCTGCTTAAGAGCTGCCCAGCAACCAGCACGTAGACCTCTCCGGGGCACAGAGGCTGAGGTCAAACTGGCAAACACACAAAAGCTGAGCAGGTGGCTACAGGAATTCAAGTGAAAGTTTTTTGCTGCTAAATAAGGAATAAACAAATCTTTACTACTAAATCCAGTTTCAACAAAAGCAAGGCCAAATCACAGAAAAGGCAGTCTTCGGGGCAATGGAGATAGCCAAGGGCCATGGGTAAAATTTATCCCCCATTGTGCGGAAGGGAAGCTCTTCCTCTAAGGCTGGCATTTCACTGCAACCTGTAATCCCCTACTTTTCTGTGCCTGATTATAGTCCAATTATGAAAGAAAATTACAAGGAAGTTAGAAAACAAGAGATTAAAATCACTTAGGGCCTTGGACCACCGGGAGTTAAGTGATTTGACATATTTTAAAAGATTCAAACAGGAATAGTTTGTAAAAAGATACTAAACACATAAAAATTATTTCCAGGTGCGTGATGGTTATAGGTAAATACAGCCAGCTAGTCCTAACCTCAACTATCTCCTGGGGTGTTGTCTAAAGCACCACATACAATTAAACAAAACAAAAAACCCTCTAAAACCTAAACAATTTGTTTTAGTCTGATAAGTCAAATTCCCGAGGCTCTTTGATCTTACTCTGTGTCACTACAACTTCCAGCCTCCTAGAATTGCTCATTCTGCTACCATGCTCATGGCAGAGAGAAAAAACCACATTATCAGAAGCCAACTGTGAAGTACAAGCATGCAAACAAGACAGAAGTGGATCCAGACAGACACGTTAGCTGATCAAATCAAACGTTATGGGAACAAAAATGACTCGGTAAAGAGATTCATGATTGGAACAGGTCAAGATGACAGTGGAATCATCTGATTTGCCTTCTACACTCAAAATTAAGATGGAGGCGCTAGGAAAAATATGTAACTGGTTCATACTTTTTTAGGATGTTCTTCTGCAGGCTTCTCTTCTTTCTGAAATAACGTTGAAATCAAAGGTCAACAAAATTTCCCGGAACAGGGCCTCCTGCCGCCAAACAAATCCTTACAGGTTTCACCTTTTCTCTACCACCCCACTGGGCTCGGGGTGCTGCAGGCACAATGCAAGCAGCGTGTTAGTTGGAAAGGGAAGACGTGCGTCCACTCCCTCACCAGCTTCCCCCACTGCCCTTGTGAAAGGATGTGTCTGTTCTGCGGTCAGATTTCAGGACTTGATGAAATCCCCACCCCTGGTCACAGA